TACACGCGTATTTATTAAATCGAGCACTAATCCCCGAAAACAGAGAGTCTGGCGTATTTCGGTGGACATGGGAGACGTTTTAAAAGAATCGAACCTATTTTCGAACGACGACTTCTTTTTTCACACGTATATCCTTCCTTTTCGTACATCGACGGTGATACTTTTTTTTATACGTTTCGATAGATTGATCTTTCAAAAGGATCTAACCTCTCCTTTTTCTCTATCTTTATCTATAGTGACTTTTTTCCTTTCATTCAATTTCATGATTATACGAAATAATTTGATATTTGATTTTAAGCGACTGTTGTAAATAATCTAAATAATCTATAATCACATTTTTTTTTTTTTGTTTTAATATTTCGATAGATCTTTCTCGAAAAGGATCTAACCTCTTCTTCTTTTTCTCTATCTTTATTTATAGTGACTTTTTGCTATTTTTCCTTTGATCCAATTTTAACTCGATGACTATACGAAATAATTTGATATTCATTGATTTTAACTTTAAATGACTGCTGTAAATAATCTAAATAATCTATAATCATATTTTCTTTTTTTTAATATTTCGATAGATCTTTCTCGAAAAGGATCTAATCTCTTCTTCTTTTTCTCTATCTTTATCTATAGTGACTTTTTGTTATTTTTCCTTTGATCCAATTTCAATTCGATGATTATACGAAATAATTTGATACTCGTTAATTTTAACTTTAAGCTGTAAATAATTTAAATAATTTATAATTATTTTCTTTTTTTTTTGTTTTAATATTTCGACAGATTGATTTTTCGAGAACGACCTAACCTAACTTATTTCTTTTCCTTCAACTTTTCTCTATCTCTTTATCTCTATAGTGACTTTTTCCTATTTTTCTCCTTTGATCCAACTTCTATTTGATAATTTATACAAAATAACTTGATATGAACGCATAATCCTTATATAAATAAATTCAATCGTGCAACAACGATAACATCTTTTAATAAAAAAATCGATAAAAATTTCGAAATGAAACTTGAGAGAGAGAGAGAGAGAGAAAGAGAAATAAAAACGAAGCCAATCGCCTTAATTGGAGGGAATAAGAAGAAGCCCTTGTCCACCCCTCAACCTTCTCTTTCCCTCTCCACGAAGCACACCTCGAATTTATTATTCCTAAAAATTTCCTCCCCTTCGAATCTTTTCTTTTCTTCTTCTTTTTTCTTTTCGACGAATAAAAAATCCTCCTCTCAATTCGTTCCAATTATTCAACGTTAGAAGAAGCGCTCGATCCCATCGCCCCGCTCGTCAATCCCCAACCGAGGAACGTGGTGGAACGTGGTGTGCTGCGGTAGTTCAACGAGCGTTTGTCGCGAGCCGCTAACGAGCAACCTCTCCCTCCCCTCCCCTCCCCTCCTTTTCTATCCAACCGTCTTCCCACCGCGAAGAGGGCGCTCCAGCTTATATAAGTCTTGTAAAGAGCAAAGCGGCGGACCACACACATCCGATCCTATCTCGCGAGTGCCCACCTCTCATGGTGCGTTGCGCCATTCCCTCCCGAATGCAACCCGCACGAATCTCTCTCTCTCTCTCTCTCTCTCTCTCTCTCGAACGACCACTTTCAGAGATCACGGTAGATAGATATCGCGTGGTTCGCGATTTATTCATTTGCTCTTCCTTTTTATCGATACCTTACCCCTTCTCTCTCTCTCTCTCTTCTGCGTTTTTATTTGTTCACTTTAATGTTTAAATTGTCGAGAATGAGTATTATTGGGAAAGAGTATTATTATGATTGTGATTGTGATTTTTTACACAGATTGATCCTTGTTACGTGTTTCGACAAATTTATATCGACGAGAAACTTACCCCGTTCTGAAGAAGGCAGATTGGCAGGAGCACGTAGCCGGGAAGAGAGGACAGATTAGAATAAAGAATTTTTATTAATTCGTAAAGAGAAAAGGAAGGAGAGTTTGGCCAAGAATTATTTTCATTCGCTTACCGAAGTTTCGTTGACGCTCTTGATGTAATCCTTGTAGGTGCCAGCGATCAGCTTCACGATATTCTCGTCGCCGTGCTTGGCCGCCCAGTGCAACGCCGTCTGTAACACCGTCAACAACATCAACCAACATCAACAACAAACAAGGCGAGCAACTATAAATCGTGCTCGACGATTATCCTTAACCCCCTTTTGGCCGGGTTATATTACCCCTCTCGTTCGAAATAAAAATTGAAGAGCCTCGAAGAACGATAAAAAAATACGCGAACGACGGAAATTTACGGGCGGCGAATATTTGGGAAAAATGGCGCGCGGCGGCCCGCTTGTAGACACGACGCGAGCAGCTGTAACGTATTTTCGGCCAGCCAGTGAAATATTCGCGAATTAAGCGACGGGAACGAGGTGGATGAATGGCGACACCACTCGAGATGGGGAGGAGGGGGGAGGGCACTTTGAGGGCAGTCGATCATCATGGCTGAAATCTAGGAGGAGGAGGCGTGGAGAATCGTTACTTTTACGATTATGAGGGAATTAATTTCGAGTAGGAATTAAGAGAAGTTTTGACGTGTTTTATTTGTGTAGAAGAATTGAGAAAAGTGTGATAAATTTGAGGATTATGAAAAGTGTGTGATGTATTATTACTGTAAGTGAGGCGACACTAGCGCCACGTGACTGTTAACTACTGGTGTCTATGATTGTTTTGTTTACTTATATTTATGGATTTTTTAAAGTATTTATCGATGATACTTTTTTTTAGATCAATTTTTCAAGTCGCGAACGAAGAAAGAACACGATATTTTAGAAATTATTATGAATCAATTCTGAAATATCTTTTAGAACTGGATTGGGAAGGTGGATTCTTGGCTCTGATTCAGATGGACGGTGTTGGTCGTCGAGTTTGAAGAATTGCAAAAATCAAAATTCAAGAGGAAAAAAGCACTCTGGATTTCGAGAGTACAAAGTAATCGAAATTTTAGATTTAGAACTTTTATTTCTAATTTTTATTCATTATTAAATTTGAAACTGTAACCACTAATCCTGCTTCACTAATTAACTAATTGACTCCGAAAGAAGACACATTACAGATCAAAAAGAGCACAAAAGCACTTGCAACCAAGACTCGACAATTATCCTTAAATTCCTTACTATATTTCCCCAACACATAAAGCTTGTACTGCATTTCGTACGAAAATCCATGACAATTCACCAACGAATTCGAAGAATCGAGAAAACAATTTCCGCAACATTTTAATTTAAATCGGCCACGAGCGACACGCACGAGAGATGGAAATAGCCAAGGGGGTAAAAAAATGTTAAATAGCCGCGTTTTTTTAAATCCAAAACAGCAGCACGCGCCGAGAGCCGAGGCCGGGACGCGTGCGCGCGATCCTCCGTTTAAACGTTGAGTTATATCCGGTCTGGCTTGCTTTGACATCGAGAGTTCGTTCAAATAGCCCCGGCTATTTCCATATACCGGGTTATCCCCGACCCGGCTGGATTATTTCGAGCATATACGTTATTATTCTTTGCAAGTTAGCCGTGACGGCTCGTAAATTTAATGGCCGCGGGCAGGAACTCTCGCAAAAACGCGCGGACACGCGCGCGCCATTCGTCCGTCCGCGCTTAAATGTCGGTGTCGCGTGGAACCGCGTCGTATCACGACGACAGCGAGAGCGGCGTTGTCGATGCCTCCCCCCCCTCCCCCCCACTCACCCACGTTTCGTTAAACGTGTACGCGAAAATGGATTATTTCCTGGATAATCGAGCCACAGGCTGATTTTTCGTGTATAAACATACGTGTTACACGTTTCGGGATGCAGGAGCATCAGGTGTTTTGGGAAACGAGAGAGGAATAATGGGGGAATTGAAAATCGATGATAAGATGACTTGCATTTTCTAAATATTTTTTGTAGTTTGTTTGGTTGGAGTATCAGATGTTTGGAAATTTTAAAGATTTCTTTTGAGGAAAATGAAGGATAGGAAAGTTTCGTTTGACTTTTTAGTAATTTGACTTTATTGGTAATTGAAAATCGATAAGAAATATACTCAGGAATATTTAATTTGTATCGAGGAATCTTCAATCAAACTTTATTAACATCTAATGCTCAGAAGAATCCTTTTAAGAGACTCACTTTTAATATTTTCGTACCATTATTTCATTTCTGGATCTCACAAACTTCTTCATGACATTCTATATCTAATAAAATTTTATAACTAAATAATTTATAAAAATCTATTACACGTTTATCCCCATATCGAGTCTCACAAATTCTGAATCGGTCACGTTTCCGTAATCCAACAATCTCCTACATTTTACCTTCATTCCCAGAAGAAAAACCGCAAGAAAGCGGATCCACGAAGCTTCGGAAAAAGGAGAGACAGCGAGTCAAAAAAAAAAAAAAAAAAAAAAAAGGAAAAAAAAACGAAGGAAAAACGAGATGTCCGTTGGCATAACATCCAGGAAGAAGCAGGATTATTCCTGGTTGTAGGGTTGTCCGCTAAGAGAGAAATATAGTATCCGCGTCGGGGGGATATAAGCAGCCGGCATGTATTTTAATTCCATAAAGTCCGCGTCCCGGGGGTGGATTAAAAATAGTGTCCAGGTCTCGAGATTCGCGCTGGGCCGTCACGGAAGGTCGGACTCCGCGTCCACCTGATCCGAGGAGAGAGAGAGAGAGAGAGAGAGAGAGACAGAGAGTGCCCTCTACCTCGGCTGGACGGACCTCGTCTGCGCCGGTAGCGGTAGAGAGACAACTACTTGCAGGCCACCTCATTAGCGGCGGAAAAACTCATCCTAACGAGGCCACGTTACCTAATGACGCGCGCGCCATCTCTTTCGTGTATGCCTATTTACCGCTTGGCCGTGTGTGTGTACGTGTGGCCACGTGTGGGGTGCACCTTGTGCGCCCACTGGCCCTGTACGCGCTCGCTCCACAGCGAGCAAATTAACGAGCGGACGCACCGTGGAGGATATACGACCTCCTGCTTGATATTAGAGGCACGTGGCGCCAATACCGTTGCTCAACCTGCGTTGATCGAAATTCGAGATCGTTAAACGCTCGATAAACGGGGATTATGGTTCTATTTTTGTTAAAGGAGATTTTTCAAGAGGATTTGATCCGTGTTACAAGGAATGGTGATATATTCTCACTGTTGAAAAAGTATTTAGAATTTTTTTTTTTACATTGATACCACTCGAGTAACCGATGCGATTTGTTTCGAGATTTCGTTGTAATAAAATTATATAAGCGATGATTTATTTGGAGAGGGAGCATGGTCGAGATTATGATCTACCGTGGATTATTACGCGAACAGTTCGCAATAACGGGTTACAGAGGAGGATACAAGACCTGGCCGGACGAACAACACGGTGACATCACGTATATACAACGGATGCGGGGATGCAGATTCGAGGAAGAAGGCGCGATGAATCTCGTTTACGCGCGGCACAAAGGAACGTGGCGAATGCTGCTAATCAAGATTAGGATCGGACGCAGCGGCCGCGCTTGATCACTCTCGTGTTCGTGGAGGCGAGGAGGAGGAGGAGGAGGAGGAAGCAAGAATCCGGTGGTGAAATTACACGGGGAAGGGAGAAAATGAATTTTTACGGTAGCCAGCCGACTACCCTCTGAGAGAGGGGCCATCAGCGCGGTCTCCTCTACGCTGCGTTATAACGTTGCAGCAACCCGTCTACTTGCACAGCCTGCTAACGAAGTTTTATGAAGCGCGATAGCTACGCCATCCCGTCGACTTTGGCGCTCCTTAATTTGTGAACGCTGCGCGCGCATACACGCCGCGCGTCGGCTGCCGCGAAAGAATAGTACTACGTCGGCCGACAACCGCGATATATCTTCGCCTCCTCTCTACTCACGGTAGCCCCGTCGTCTTCTTTCGTATCTACTTCGTCATGCGTGAGAAACCTCGATATCTGACGATTTTTCCTCTTTTCTTCTTCTTTTTTCTTTTTTTTTTTTTAAGTCCATTAGTCCATTTATTTCCATTTCAAACGCTTTGTTGACAATTTTCCTGATAATTTTGAAATTGAACATTGAAATTTCGTAAAAAAATAGATAACCATCCAAGACTGGAAATATTTTCGAAATTATTAATCATCTATTCGTGCAATTATTATCTTAACTACTCGTATGCGAAATTACGTTTATAAATTAATATTACGAGAAATAAAAATATTTTCATATCGTATGAATTCCATGCCTAACGGTAATGCACATTTTAAATAACTATGATGTGAAAATAAGCGTGAATAATCCTTCCTTCTTTCCACCAGTGTTGGGAACAACACTATCAAAAATATTCCAATAAAAATGGGGAAAAAAACTCAACGTAACAAAACCTCTTGCTCCCGCACCCAAGGTCACCTTATACGCGCGAAACTATGTACAAACCGTGGTGTGTGTATATATAGTTGTCTTCCTCCTCTGTGGATACTGATTAAGCCAGCCGGGAGGAGACTCGGCGAGGAGGAGGAGGAGGAGGAGGAGAAGGTCCTCTCGCCAGCAACAACGGCAGCCAGCTACCGCGGCCTCTGATGTATGCGAGCGATACAGATATCTCGTGGAAGGAATTTGCGTTGAATTAGCGTATAATCGGCGGGCCGATCTGCTCATACGGAATCCCGCTTACACGTGTCCCGAGAGCTGTATTCTCTGCGCGAACACAATATTTAGTGGCCGTCTCCTCTCCCTTTCGGCTCCCGTGGGACCTTTCCGCTGGTATGCCCGACCTCCGTTCGTCCAAATTTTTGCACCTGGGGAGGAGGAGGGGGGAGGGAAGAAGGCAGGGAAATCTTCGCGACAAGCTGATTAAAAGCGCCACTATCGCGCCGCGATCGGGCATTCCATATTAAGACTTGGCGATATTTGGCGGTTGAAGCCAAGAGAGGAGATTTTTTTTTTTTTTTAACTTTGAACATTAATTGGGATCCTTGTTAAGTGGGATGGATATATGGAAGATTTTCCATATATGATGAAAGTAGTAGATCCACTCGTCCGAAATTAATCGTCCATCCCTTTTATTCTTAATTATTATTAAGAATCTAAAAATTACAAAACATTCCCTATAACGGGATCAAAGTTACCTCG